CTTACCTATATGCATCCGAAAGTGTCATGAATCCAAATTCGGCGCTAGAGTAGATGATAAAGTCTTCTGCAAGCTTGCTGAGGTGCACAGCAGTCAAACTGGCCCACATGAGCGTCTCCACTACAAAGTCCCTATCGCTGACGTTGTACATGCTGTTTGGCCCGACCGAGAGGAAGCCAAGATCCTTGGCGATGGCGATTCTGTCTGGACTGAAAGGATTGCCGGCCAATGGTCCGCTTCCGAGCGGAAGGACGCTGATACGAGGTCTCAGATCTCTCAAACGCGATAGGTCCGAGGATAGGTAGGAGGCGTGCGAGAGAAGCAAGTGCGACCAGCGGATGGGTTGGGCCCTTTGAAGGTGAGTGTAGCCAGGCATGAGCGCATCGATCTCTGCTTTGGCCCTCTTGACCATGACATCGATGAGTTGGATGAGCAGAGTCTCCAGCTTGGCAGCCTCGTCGATGAGCCAAAGTCTCATATCCGTAGCCACCTGATCATTTCTGCTCCTACCAGTGTGCAGCTTGCCAGCCACAGCACCAATAAGCTCTTTGAGTCTTCGCTCATTGGCAGTATGAATATCCTCATCATCCGCAGCAGCTTGGAATTTCCCAGCTTTCCATTCCTCCCCTACCTTGTCCAGACCAGCGACGATCTGATCTCGTTCTTCGGCGCTCAGGATGCCGCACCCTACCAAGGCTCTAGCGTAGGCTTGTGAGCCTCGGATATCTTGCGCCCACATGCGCTGATCGTAGGAGAGGGACTCGTTGTACGCGTGCATGATGGGATCGGTCGTGCCTGTAAAGCGACCACCCCAAAGCTTGCGCTTCGAGAAATCTTCTTGACCGCTCATGATCAAAAAGGGCGTTGGTGGTAGATTGTGCTCCTTTGGGGGGTGAGGGAGAAGTGAACAATCGGGCCGATTCACGGACGATGGCTCGAGCGAGAGATGTGTGGTGAAGGGGTATTGCGAGTCGCCTAAAGCCTGGTCAAAAGCTAGAAGATCTCATTTGCGCAGGAGCGGGCGCCTCCGACACCACGATAAGCTCAATCAGCACGAATCAAGCATTTTTGTATTGGCACACATCGCAGCAGCAGGTACATGCAGGTGCGAGAGTTCTCGCGCCTGCGCGCCGCGCGGCATTGTGATTGGGTCGAGCGAGCGTCGTGAGTCCTGTGCCATAGTCTTGACTACAATAACAATAGCCTCAAAATCATTCACGAGTCTTCATGTGCGGGCTGACCGCGAATGTCTGCTCCTCGGGCACCTGCGCAGCCGTGTGAGGCGTCACTAGCCTTGGGTCCGCACCTCCTCCGAATCAGAAGGGTCATCAATACGATGATCATTAAGCCTCTACGAGCAGGGTACGTGGAGACTTGCGAAGCGCATGGCAAAGGTATATGGATGGTACACAACGTCTCTTCATAAGCTGAGGACTTGGGCGAAAGCGCTCACATATGGGTAATGGAAAACTCGACCACAATAGTCAGGCCGGCGGAGGTGGCGGTCAGTCAAGGTGTGGCAGGTGGCGGTGGTCCAGGCTGTGCAAATGGCATGACGCGCGACAAGAAAGTACCAACGCTGGCACGCTTCTCTGCCAGGGGTGTCGAGCTTGGCACCGAGGCTGAACCGTCTCCCAAAGCAGCTCTAATTTCCATCGGTGAGAGACCTTGCATCTCAAAATGGGCACGCAGTTTTTCTCGTCCTTCTTCAGTCTCCGAAGAGACGACGCGCGAAGTTGAAGTCATGGCCGGAGACAGTGTCAAAGAACGCAATTGCGCCTCCCGAGGATCCGGCGCAGTGCCCGCGCCTGGTAGCCAGGACTTCCAGTCAATTGAAGCCGACCGCCTGTTCTTTGCGGGAGGCGTCGGTCGACTAGAACTGACTCCGACTGTCTGTTTGATAGGGCTGACATCGGGATCAGAAGCAAGTCGACCAAACCCGAGGAGACCACCGCTAGCGCGCCTGGCTTTCTTGGCCTCCTCTGCTGCTTTGTCCGCGGCAGCTTGCGCTTTCTGAGCCTGACTGGGGCTGCTTGATGCGCCAGCGGAGCGTGGGGGACTGACGGCCAAAAGTGGTCTCGAGCGTTGTCCACGCAAGCGACTGCTTGTACCACGCGCCTGGGAACTGTCGTCGATTGCGAGCACATCTTCGAAACCTTGCGCACGCGTGACAATCCGATCGATAATTCGGGAGACGTACAGAGTCAGAGCTTTGTTTGCGTCGCGAAGCTCCTTGACCTCCCTTTGAAGGTCTGTGAAGAATCGTACAATCGCGTCAATTGAGAAAGTCGCACTCGGACAGTGTCGTAACTTGATCTTATACTCACCAGGCACCGCTGTAGGCATCGACTCGCCAGCACCTTCTCTGTCTCGTCTCTCCTTGAGCTCTCGCCGCTTTGATTCTCGTTGATCTGCTGCTTCGTCCACTTCCGCGAGCTCATTCTCAAGCGTAGTCGGGGCGTGTATACTGCGCTGAGCGCCCGGACTGTCAGGAAGGGCCGAAGAGCGCTTGCTAACAGATCGCCTTGGCTTCCTGGGAGGCGGCACATCCTCAACATCCCCATTAGTATTGTCACTAATTTGCGTAGTGGCAACGCTTGTGTCGCCTTGCGTATCTTCGCTCTCATCCTCGCTATCGATACTGCCGTCCGAGATTGACATGGTGCCATAAGCACGGTTGAGAACGCGACTCTCCGTGATGAGAGCACCGCTCAGAGTCTTCTCCTCCAGCATGTCTAGATATCCTAAGCTCTCCTTCCGCAAAGCTGAGTACGCTTCACGAATGTCTCCTAGCTCCTGTTGCACTGTTTTCAAAGTGTCAACTAGGCCGTTGTAGCTCTTTTGAAGCGCGTCGCGCTCTTGACGCAGCGAAGAGCTGGTCGCTTTCTCGTCGGCCAAAGCGCGCTTGCTGGCAGCCAAAGTCACTTCAGGGTTTGGCTTAGAAGGAGGGGAAGCCTCGGACTCGAGATCCGCGGGCGCTAAAGTGTTGGACTTGCTCTGCACAATTCTAGCTTGTAGAACCTCGTTCTCGCGCAACAGCTCCGCATTGGCGGACATGAGGCGTTCATTTGCCGATGCTGTGTTGGCTTTTTGCTGACTTAAGAGATTCTCGGTATCTGCAAAGAATTCTCTCTCCTTGTCCGATGTCGTGACCTATACCGATGACACCCGCGACAGGGAGCATTGCATCAGCTACCAAGTCATGCAAGACGCATGCGAAAGGCAATTCAAAGTGTTTGTTTGCACCAGCGAGACATACTTACTTGCTCGGTGTAACGCCTTTCGGCATCGTTTCGAAGCTTCTCGGCTTCTTGAACCTGCTTGCTTAGGCGCGCGACCATTGCGTGCAGCTGGTCGAGCTCTTCTTCTGTCCGATCTTGACCGGCAAGCAGCTCGTCGATGCGTTCCTCGCGGGCGTTGACAGCTCCTTGCAACGAGCTAGACTCGGCTTCTGCGAGAGAGACCGAAGAGCTGAGAACATCAATGGAAGCGTGCTGTTCCTCGATGGTGAGCTGCTGCGCCTCGCACTTCGCATCGAGCTGAGCGTGAGCAGCCGCGCAGCCGCGCAGCGAATGTCAGACACTTTATGTCATGGATTCGCACGCACAAGCCTTCCACTACTCACCGCATCCATATACTCTTTGCTCCTCTTCAAAGCCAACACAAGCTCTTCGCGTGACACGCCGCCCAGAGCTGCCTCCATATCCTCGATGGAGATCTCCTGTCCGACCTGCTGACGAGACTTGGAGCTTGACAGCTGCTTAGCAGCAACATAGTCGTCACCAGTGCCCGTCTCAGAGACCGAGGGGAGCGCCGGAGAGTTGGGTAGAGGCGATCCCGTAGCTGAGGCAATCGTCCTTTCGGCACCTCGACGCCTGGCGCCCGGGGGCATTGGCCTGGCGTGCGGTTTGCTGTTCCCCAGCTCCATTGCGAAAGTGGTTCCTTCGTTGATAACGCCCAAGGAGCAGCTTGGATATTGGGATGGTGTGAGAGCAAACCAAGCGCACAGAAAGCCGCTTCCAAGGAGAGCGCGACATTGACCCCGTAAGGGAGCGTCAACAGGAGGTAGGAGTCTGAATGTCGGTGTTAGGAAAATAACACCCAGCTGCTCATCTGAAGACGCGTGACCAACCGAGGAAGGCTTGACGCAGATCGAGCGCCGCGACTCGCATCATCCCCAACTGGCGAGATGCGGGGTGTGCCATATGAGCCGCACGGACACCTTCGAGAGCTCGCTCCGCGCATGGCGCGGATGGCTCATCAGAACGATTATTCTCGACCTTTAGCTTCAAGAGTGCAAAGCGGAATCGCGCGCCGCGCCGCGAGTCACGGGGCGGTTCAGCCCTTGGGTGACATCGCGCCTTATTCTGTGACTAGTCAAGTCGTGAGTCAAGGATCGTAGCTTAGCTCAAGACTAGCCAAGTGGAAGCCTGTGGATGAAGCATGTTTGATCATGAAGAATCTTAAGCCTTGAGCAACACCATCGTGGGTGTGAACCTCTCTCTCATCACCTGATCACCCTCCTCCAGTCACGATTCACCAGTCACGAGTCAGCAGCGTCATCAGCGGCGCTCTCAGCTACGTGGGCGTGCTTCAAACGCGTGCGCATGAACACAAGCATCATCATCCTCCCGCATGCTGGACGACCTGCATGGCGCTGGTGGGTCGAGCGTGGCTGCAAGCTGCACGAGCAGTCTGAGTCTTAGCCAGGCGAGGCGGTGCGGACGCACGCACGCACGCACGCACTCGTGACTACTGCTGCGTGCATCTGCGCTCGGTTCATCGTAGCCGCACCACA